TGCTGCTATGAACATAGGGGTGCATATACTCTTTCTGATTGGTGTTTGGGGATTTTTAGTATATATTCCTAGAAGTGGGATCACTGGGTCAAACAGAAATTCCATTTTTATTTTTTTGAGGAAACTCCATACTGCTTTCCATAATGGCTGCACCAGTCTTCATTCCCACCAGCAGCAAACCAGTGTTCCCTTTTCTCCACATCCTCACCAGCACTTGTTGTTTGTTGATTTTTTTTATGACAGCCATTCTGACAGGTGTGAGGTAATGTCTCATTGTGGTTTTAATTTGCATTTCTCTGATGATTAGTGACTTTGAGCATTTTTTCATGTCTCTTGGCCATTTGTATGTCCTCTTTGGAGAAGTGTCTATTCAGGTCCTCTGCCCACTTTTTAATTGGAGTGTTTGTCTTCCTTTTGTTGAGTTGTATGAGTACTTCATATATCATTTAGGCACTTTTTTTTGTTTTCATCTCATTGGGGACCTAAGGAACAAAAACTGAAGGATAACCTCCCAGGCTGCCACTGGGAGGTGAACTTCAACATCTCAGACTCTGTGCGGATTCACATAGGACCAGGGCCTTCTAGACATCTGAGCTCATACCAAAACTTGTGAAATGTAATCTCTGAGTTGGGGCTTAAAGATCTGTAGAAAGTATGTCTAGTACATTGTATTATAAGAGAAAGAGTCCTTCTGCTGCTAATTTATTCATTCATGAATCAAATTCTTATGACACTTAACCAGGTCTTCTGCTAAACCTTGGGAATACAGTGATGAATAAGAAAGACAAAATCCCTGTCCTCACAAAATGTGCACATTCTAGTGGGGAGTGACAGACTATAAACACGTAAACAAATCGATGACGACACAATTTCAAGTTATGCTGAGAGCCATGCCGATGCCCACCAGCCAGAGACCACCAGGAACACACTCACACAAAGTGGGGTTTCCTGGCACTGGAGATATTCTGTGGGGATTTGTGGGGTTGGCCTCTCAATAATAGGGTACGAATAGAGGTTTTTTAGAGAATCGGGGCTTGTGTTCAAGGACTTGGAGAATATTCCAGAAGTGTGGTTTTGCTCTGGCTTGGATGCTTTAAGACAGTGAAGGCAATGCCAGGGTTGTCGTATTGATGCATGAGGTGGAAAAATGAAGCAGTAGTAAAGAAGCAGCAGCCACTCAAACTATGTGGGAAAAGGGATATGGGATCATTTCTGTGGTTTGTAGTGTTCTTGTTTTTGTTTTTGCTCAGACATGATTACAAAGTGGTAGGTCTTGTTTATTGTCTTTTGCCATCCTCCATAGAATGACCCTGTCTGAAGTTTAAGTTCTATAAAATTGTTTACGTTTAACAGGAGAACACCATGGCCTCGGTATTGGTGCCAGGGCAGCTCCCAGATGAAGGCTTGTCAGTGGTTGCTTTTTTTTTTTTCAAATATGAAGAAAAACAAAGCAAATTAAATGGAGATATTGACTCAGAGATAAATGTGTATTTTTTTTTAAGATAGAGTGTTAAGGAAGGGCTTCATTATACATGCATACATGTGCAGAGATCTAAATGATGTGAAGAAATAAACCATGAAAAGGCCTGGAAAACATCGTAACAATTAAAGTAATGGTTGATATGTTGTAACAATGAGGCTGAAAAATGCAGTGTCTTAAATAAATTAGATATTCATTTCTCTTTCAACAGTCTGGTTGGTCCAGGGTGGTGAGACAGCTTTGTAGCGCAAAGTAGGTAAAGGCCTTAGGCTCTATTGATCAGTGTCATCCTTAAGAGAATGGTACCCATTTGTGTGGTTAAAAAAATTCACATTTAGGAAAAACACCAATTAGCAAAAAAGCAAAATTCAGGGAATGAGGTTTCTCTTTAAGTTCTACAGGAGCCACCTGTTGTACCCATTTTTTCCACTGAGTATCTGACTAGCTCCAACAGTCATTCCTGGTGACCGGGTGGGGGGTAGGGGGGCTGGGAATGCATCTCTAACTGGATGTCCTGTGTGTGCAGCAAAGAAGGCTTTTCTGCCAGAGAGCTTTCCAGGAAAGAGGTGCCCGCAGCTTGAAGGCTACAACGAGAAGAAACAAGCTGGATATGTAGAGGAATAACAAGAGGCCAGTGTGACTGGAGGAGAATGAGTGGAGTTAGAGAAGCAGACAAATGCCAGATTACTTAAGGCCATCTAGGACAGAATTTGGGTTTTATTCAAAGTGTAATGGAAAGACATTGTGGATATTGAGAAGTGGTGCGTGGCATTATCTAATTGTAAAACTTTTTTCAGCCATATGAATGTAGATGGATAAAAATAATAAAATGGAGAGCAGCTAGGAAGAAATTGCCATAGTCCCAGGGTGAGAACTTGTGGCTTAGGGCAGTAGTGGTGGATGTGGCAAGAAGTAGGTGGACTTGAGATGTATTTTGGGTGAAAACCCAACCAAAGTCCTTAATGGGAGAAATGGCAGGTATGTATTAAAGGGAAGAGTTAGGAATGACTACTAGATTTTGAGCCTGAGCAGGGTGTGGGACAATTTAGGGAGATGAGGGAGTTAAGGAGTGACCCTCAGAAAAGAATAGACTAATTCTCTATTGAAATGAACAGTTCCTCCATTGGAATGGGAGAGTGAGGGGTAAATGCAGGGTGGTGTTACATTTGGTGGTAAGGAAAGTATGTAATTTTCTTTTTATTGCTTTTAATTTTTAGTGAAATAATTAGAACAACAGCTGATGTGAGGAGACTGATGAATGTTACAACTGGGGATAGGAGAGAAGGTATAAAACAAACTTCAGTGAGAATCAGAGGCAAACTTTATTAGGCAAATGTAGTAGGAGTTCTGGGTAGCACTAAGGACTTGAGATTTGTGATCAGAAAATTTAAGTGTGACTTTTCAGCAGCATTGAGTGTGTTTTTTCAGTTGTGTTCAGCTTCTCAGGTGAGGCCAGAATTGGGGGAGATTTCATTTTAATAGTATTTTCACAGGCTTACATAATGCAGCACAGGAAGTTGAGGGACACAGGGGAGGGAATTTAATTTGGACCATAGAATCTAGATCAAGTAACTAGCAAAGTGAGGGCATGAGTAGAAAGTGAAGAGTGAAAAAAGGTGGGGACAATGGATTAAATGGGATCATAAATGTTGGAGTGAGAGTGTTAGATTATATGAACTGGAAACAAAATATGATGTTTACAGAGTAGAGTGCTTAAGAATTGAAATTTTGGGGAGGCTGAATTTATTGGTAGTGAAAAGTTCTGTGATATGTGGAAGTGATTGGGTGAGATGAAATGGATAAAGTGTTTATTATCAGAAGTGGAGGTGTAAGGGACTGGGAAGGAAAATTATTGAATAGATCTTCTACAAGTATGTGGGACTCCTCAAGGATAATGAATGAAACAAGTAATTAATTAAGAGATCAGCAGGTGTTTTTTTTTTAAACACAGGTTAATATGTGAAATTATATTACGCTCTATAGTTTTGTAAGGGAAAAGGAAAAATGGCATGAAAGTGGCCAGAAAAACTTACACCTAGCTATTAATATGTTCCAGGCAACTTTTTCAGCATTGTACACATATTGGACTACTTTATATCCTTCTCCACTCCTCATTTATTTTCCACATTTTGCAGTTGAATAAACAAGTTAAATAAATTGTCCAAGGTTACTAGTGAATCGTGAAGTTGAATCTGGGCATTCTGACTTCAGAGCACACACTCTAGTCACTACAAAATAGTTTCCTTCTTAGGATCAATGCTTCGGCACTTTTTAATGTTGAAGTTTATAGGATAGTAAAGATGGTGGGGTGGTGGTTGTGAGAAGGCATGATTTTAACAGGAAAACTCAGAGATCAGTGGGCTGTTCTTAAGTACTACTGAGTGGGGTTTAGGCTAGGGGAGGAACAATCTCATCAAAGGACATGAAGTTCTCAACGTGTCTTAATTCCAGAACAACTTATTCCCTGATATCTTTAATAGATGTACTAGGTTGCAGGCTATGAGGAGTGTTCTTCCTAGACCCTTGTGAGAGTCTAGGATGCCCCTACTAACGGGGAAATGTAAGGATCATGAAGGCTATGAGACCCACCATAAATATGGTCTCAAACAAAATTTATGAGGATTTATTTCCAGTATTCCTTTTGCCTCAAAAATTCCCTCCCAATTAGAAAAAAAAATCAGTCACACATATTTATTGATGAAGTTAAAAGTGTAGTTATCATTTACTAAATCATAGTGGGGGGAGCCTATAAATTGTAACCCTTCTAATAGAAGTTAATCTTCATCCTGCACGGTGTGGCTCAGGGGTCGAGCATTGACCCATGAATCAAGAGGTCATGGATTGATTCCTGGTCAGGGCACATGCCCAGGCTTCGAGCTTGATCCCCAGTAGAGGGCATGCTGGAGGCAGCCAATTTATGTTTCTATCTTTTTAGCCCTCTCCCTCTAAATTCCATAAAAACATATTTATTAAAAAGGTATCAGAAAAACATGTGGTCCCTATGGCTTATTTTCTCTTTATTGGCTAATAAGTTCATTTAACAGGAAAATAAATTCATTTGAAAATTATTTATTAAGATAGGCATAATTATCAATAGTTCATTGATCATCCTTTTAAGATGATCCTATTTTATCACTATTACCTCCCCATATCTGAGAGATTCAGGAGTTGAATATTGGAAAAGAAAATGTTTATCTCTCAAAAACATTCAGTCAAATAACAAAAGCAGTACTGTTACTTTTGGGGAGTTAATGATATTTAGGCTAGACTTTGCTATAGGGCACTGTTATAATCTCTCACAATTTGGTTTAAAATGTCAAACATTTTGACTGTTTAAGTAACCCATTAAGTGCTTTGCCAAATTAGAAAATATTCTATATATGACTTAATTATTATCTACTTCAGCTATACACAACATATCATGCTCAAGATCTAGATTTATTTGAAAACATTTAGTCCAATTTCTATTAATCAGAAAAATCACATCAAATAAACCACAATTGTAGAAGAGACATTTTCACACAGATGTAATTTGATATTTAATTAAAGAATGATAAGTCATGTTCACATGGAAGTAAAATATTTAACTTCTCAGTAGTAGTAAGAATCTCTTTTGAGTATGTAGGGTCTTCTGGGTTTATTCTTATATAGTTGCCGTTTCAGAATGTAAGGAATTTTTCTCTTTATAACTTCTTCCTTTTCATTTTTGTCATTTCCGTTATCAAGAACATCTTCCTGAATTGCCTGCAAGACAGACAGGATATGAATGAAACTTACATGCATGAAGTCTTCCATTTCAGAGTGTTTTTCTACTTCTCTAATTTACAATTCAGACAGTAAGACATATGTGAATGAGGTTCAAAACAATGTGTTTTGTCCAAGAAGAGATGGCTATCAAGTGGCTGAGAATGAATGAGAACGTGACTTTTCAGTGTTCTTCCTAGTTCATCAAACTGACCTTTTTAATATGTCAAGATCACACACTAATACCTCCAATTGAGGAAGCACATATAATAGAACTTTGAGTATTTTTCAGCCTTCAATTTAGATTAAAATGCTATTGAAATATATCATAAATCACAACAAATACTTTTCAATCTAGTAAAATAAGTTTGGCTTGAAAGATCAACATGATTTTATGTTCAATTAAGTTATGTACTGGCTTGACTAGAAAACCATTCCAAAGATTCATTTCTCAATCATAGAGAGAATACAAGCTAACATACTTAGTCACAGAAGTTAACATATGTGTAAGTTCTGTTTAAATGGTAATGATCTCTTTAGATTGTGATGCTTAATAATGGTTTAACTGCTAAGAATGCCTGAAATCCACATATTCAATTAAATAGGAATAT